AAGTTCTCCCACGAGAGAGAATTCTGAACCCTATCAGGCTCACCCAAGGGTCTGGAGTCAGGAGGAGGAACACCCAGATTTTGAAAGCCAGTGGGGCTTCAGTGCAGAGGCTCCAAGGACTGGGGGAAACAGAGGCTCCACTCCTGGAGGGCTATAATAAAATCACACAGACACTAGGACCCAGCTCAAAGCAGTAACTCCATACTGTGAAAATGACTATACTACCCAAAGCAATGCAAAGATTCAATGCAAGCCCTATCAAATTACCAATGGGATTTTTCACAGGACTAGAACAATTTTTTTTTTTTAATTTGTATGGAAAGACAAAAGATCCCAAATAGCCAAAGCAATCTTGAGAAATAAAAATGGAACTGGAGGAATTGGGCTCCCTGACTTCAGACTATACTAAAAAGCTACAGTAATAAAACAGTATGATACTGGTGCAAAAACAACAACAACAAAAATATAGATCAATGGAATAGGATAGAGAGTCCAAAGATAAACCCACACAACTGAGGTCACCTAATCTGTGACAAAGGAAGAAAGGATACACAGTGGAGAAAAGACAGTCTCTTCAGTAGCTGGAGCCAGAACAAGCGGACAGCAACACATGGAAGAATGGAATTAGAACATTCTCTAACACTCACTCAAAATGAACTCAAAATGAATCAAAGACTAAAAGTATGGCTGGACACCACAAAAATCACGGAGGAAAACACAGAGCCCCCTTTGACATAAATTACAGCAACATCATTTTTTTAACCTACCTCCTAGAGTAATGGAGATAATACCAAAAATAAACACATGGGACCTAATTAAACTTACACGCTTCTGCACAGCAAAGGAAACCATAAAAAAAAGAGACAAACCGTAGAATAGGAAAAAAATATCTGCAAATGAAATGTCTGGCAAGGGATTAATCTCTAAAATATACAAATAGTTCATGCACTTCTGTATCAAAAAAATAAAAATTTTTTTAAAAAATGGGCTGAAGACCTAAGTAGACATTTCTCCAAAGAAGACATATGATGGCCAACAGGACCATGAAAAACTGCTCGACATCACTAGTTTATCAGAGAAATGAAAATCAAAACTACAATGAGTTATCAGCTCACACCAGTCAGAACGGCCGTCATCAAAACGTCTACAAGCACTAAAGGGTGTGTTTACACCCTCACCTTATTGGAGGGGGTGTGAAGGAAAGTGAACCCTCCTACCCTCTTGGGGGGAATGTAAATTGGCACAACCACTATGGAGAACAGTATGGAGGTTCCTTAAAAACTAAAAAAAGAACTATCATATAATCCAGCAATACCACCCCTGGGTATGTATCAGAAGAAAACCATAATTTTAAAATTATACATCATCTCAATGTTCACAGCAGCACTACTTACAATAGCTAAGAAAAGGAAGCAGACTAAATTCCTATCAACAGAGAAATGGATAAAGATGTGGTACCTATATACAATGGAATATTAGCCATAAAAAGAATGATATAATGCCATTTGCAGCAACATGCATGGACCTGGAGATTATAATACTAATTAAGTTAAACAGAGAAAAACAAATATCATGTGAATTCACTCACTTGTGGAATCTCATTTTTAAAAAAAAGCATACAAATGAACTTATTTACAAACTTATTTAAATAAGTTCATTTACAAATCTATAAGTCAACAGACTTAGAGATATTGAAAACAAAATTAAGGTACCAAAGGGGTAATGTGGCGAGGAGGGGTGAATCAGGAGGCTGGGATCAACATATACACACTACCACATATAAGACTGGAGGAGGACACGGCAGCCCACTCCAGTGTTCTTGCCTGGAGAATCCCAGGGACAGAAGAGCCTGGACGGCTACAATCCATGGGATCGCAAAGAGTCAGACAAGACTGAAGCGACTTAGCGCATATATAAGATAGATAACCAACAAGGATCTACGGTATAATTCAAGGAACTCAACTCAATATTTTGTGATAACCTGCATGAGAAAATAGTCTGAAAAAGAATGAACATACGTAACACTGAATCACTTTGCTGGACACCTGAAACTAACACACCATTGTAAATTAAATATACTCCAATAAAACTTTAAAAAGTGATAATAAACTTATTTCTTTTTGAAAAGTCAAAAAGAGTATATTCAGTATTTTGAATTACATCAAACATGATATTCTACTGAAAACTCACTAAAAGTAATAAACACTGAGTAAGTGTTAATAGATCTATTGAATCAATGACAGTGGGAGTCTATAAAAAATATTTACCAATTTTACTCAAGTCCGTATGGCACCACGAAGGGTAATAAAGACAAGAAACACAAAAGCAATATCAAATATCCTTTTTTTTTTAACTTTAGATCATCCAATCTATTTATAAGTAATTACTAATAGGACTATTGTACAGAAAAATAACCCTGAAGTTGGTTTTCTTTTAAGGATCCATGGAATGTTAATTTCAATGGTTATGAGACTATCCCACTCCTATGATTCAAAGTTCAACCAACTGCAAATCAAATCAGGACATCCAGAATGTGCTGGGTTTTCTGTTTGTTCAGAACGTCAGTGTCACTGGGATCCAGTCCACATCAACCATCATAAAGTGCTTCAGGTACTATGCATACATGCCTCGGTCCTGGTGGTACAACCAGCAAGGCCTTGTTACCTGGCTCCTGCTCTTCAGCATGGCCCCCCAGAGAACAGTTAGACCCATGGATGAGAGAGCCTTTGCAGGGGTCCAGGAATCCAGTTGAGTAGTTGCATCAAACTGTTGGAGGTTAAAAAATACACATGTGTGAATGTGGATGCATTGGAAAGGGAAGGAAGGATGGTTTGACTTTACCTGCATAACCCACGGGCAGCCCCAGTGCTCTGCGCAACTCACCCACACACCGCCTAACGGTGTGGCCAGCTCCCTGTACATACTCTTAAAGGCAGGAAGAATAAGCTTTGGCTGATGGCTAGTAAGCATTGCAGAAAATCAGCCAGAATCTGCAGACCAGGAAGCAACCACAAATTTGAGCTTTAGTGTCACCACTGGGAAAGTCAAAGGGAAGCTGTCAGCAACCCACCTGGTGAGCTGCAAGATGGAAAGAAGCTTACAAATTCTGCCAAAAGCAGCAGCAAGAAATGTGACGCAGGTGTAACCAGAGAGAGACTGAGAAAGCCTCAGAATCCCCAGTAGAGCAGTGGGAAGGTATTTCTTTCCTAAAGTCAGACAGTCAAGACTGGAGGAAGTGCCTGCTACTTCTAATGGAAGGACAGCAGCTGCAAGAACCTTAAGGAAAAAAATTTAAAAATCATGGAAACATGACCCCAACAAGGGATCGCAGCAATCGGCTAGTCATCAATTCCCAAGACATCCCTGATAAAGAATTAAAAATAGCTGGGTTTTTCTCTTGTGAAGAGAAGATCCACACTCGTAGCAGCTTTAAGTATACAAAAAGTATTAACTAGTCAGCGTGTTGAACTGTCACATCCCCATTATTTACTTATTTTATAACTAGAAGTTGGTTCTGTTTCTTTCCTGTCCTTGCCCAGGTACTCGGTGGCACATGGTCAGAAGGGCCCGGGCAGCTGCTGACCCACCTCGCTGCCCCTGGCCAAGAAGGCAAGGGCAGGGCTTTCCACTTCCCAGAAGCAGGGGTCCTGGAGGGCTTCAGCCAGCAAGCGCGGCCGCATGCCCTTGCAGACGGCAAATTGGAGGTCGGCGGGCTGCCGTCTATGGGGTCGCACAGAGTCGACACGACTGAAGCGACTTAGCAGCAGCAGCAGGAGGAACCCCTGTTTCTGCCCCATCACGCTCCACCCCCCGCCCCCGGGCGGCAGTGCAGCCGACCCCCACCTCCCACCCCGCCTCCAGGGAGCCCCGAGAGAGACAAGCCTGATCTCCAGCCCCTGTGGAACTGGAGCCTGAGCAAGAAGCCAGGCTAGAGCAAGCCCGGCGTCAAAGAAGACTACCGACGGGGCCGAAGTAGCGCTGACCTCGTTCCTCAAAGAAGCCCGAGCGCTGTCACGCAGGCTGTGAGAAAGCCTGTGGGCTGAGACCTCACCACGTGCAGGAACCTGTGCCGGCGGCGGCCGGGGTTCCGGGAGTCTGTGCGTCTAGAGAGTCGGCGCGGCCCGCCTCGCTGGGCATGCGCGGAAGCGGCCGGCCCACCTGCGGGGAGCTGCTCCCAGCCGCCGCCAGGGGCCACCTGGGCCAGCCAGCCGGCCGGCCGCCGCACCCCGGGGGACCCGCTGCCACTCTCTCTGCTGAAGCTGCTCCACGCCCGCAGCCCCGCCGGCAGCACCCCCAGCTCGCCGAGCTCAGCATCCTCTGCCGGCCAGGCCGCTGGGCCGTTTTCTCACAGCCCCGCCAGCCTCTTCCAACGGCGTGGTCCCCGCCCCTCATGCCTCGGGCCGAGGCTGAGGCCCCTCCCGCCGGTTGCAGCCGTGAGCAGCGGCGCTCCCTCCCTCTCGGGACGTCGTGTCGAGGGCAAAGAGACCTTTGTGTAGTCCACAGCAAGGAAACCCTTATCTTCTCCCCAGGTATCAGAGTAAACTTGTAAAACAGCGACAGCCACAAAAGCTGCACACACAAATGGCCCAGCGGGCGTCTGCACGAAGGTGAGAGTCAGCCGTGTAGAACCCTGCTAGCGCGGGGATGCACGTGCTCCGGAAGTCAGATCAGGAGGAGACCACCCCCCTCCAGCCCGCCCTCGCCCCCGTCTTACTCTTGTCGGGAGAGTGAGTAAGTTCCTTGATTCTGTCCTGCCTCCTGGCAACTAAAATGTGACGCGACAGAGCAGTGCCGCAGCTCAGTTTTACTTGGAAAGCAAAGGAAAGACATCCTGGAGGTGTGAGGGCGTGCCGGCCCAAAGACACAGAGCGGAGAAGCCCCGGCACGACGTGGGCCCCTCGTTTTCTGCGCTTTTCCTCCTCCGCCTGGGCCGGCCGGGAGTGCTCTTTGTCTTACCCGAGGCCCTCACTGCGGCCTGCGGGCCTTCCCCTTCTTTGTCGTTAGCCACACCGCTTTGGACCCCTTTCTCCGGTGCTAACCACCTCACGCTCGGAACTTAGGACTCTGGAGTTTCCTTTCCTCTCAGGAGCCCGCTGAGCACACAGCCGGCAGACCCGTGCGGGGGAGCGTGGCGTCGGGCCCGCTGGCCAGTGGGTCGGCCAGCTCGGAGCAGACGTGGCCTCGGGCAGCGGTGCTTTCAGGACAGGGCTAGGGCTCGCGGCCCCGGCCCGGGCGTCTGTCACGTGGGTAGCCTGACTGAGGCTGACATCGTGGCCCCCCACCGTCATGGGGTGCTGCATAGCAGAGGCCACTGGGGTCCGTGTGGCGGCGCCCGGAGGCCGCCGAGGACTCTGGGACCGGGATCTGGACTTTGAGACTTGACAGGTAGATGTTCTTTCCAGAAATCTGTTTTAACTGCATGAGCCTTTCCACGAGACATGGGGGGTCTTGTTCTTGACCATGAGAGAATTCCAACAGAAACACAGCTGGAGAGGATATATCCAACTCCAAAAAGGTCAACCCGTACTTTCAACTGCGTAGCTGGCGTTACAAGGCGCCCCAGGAGTACTGGCTGACGGATCTCACGCAGCCCACTGCAGACGGGATGTGGCTGCTTTCGGCCGTTATTAAATCCACCTGGCACGGCTGGCTGGCCCTCCTATTGCTCGTCCTCATCGTCCAGAAAAGCAGGTTTATAATCTTGTTCTCCGCAAGTGGGATGAAGTTCTCAGTGATTAGGTACTTGAACCTGAGTTCCTAGGTCTCCTGGTTCTTTGCCTCCTTCGGGTTCTGCTACATTTGGATACACTCATCATGCTGGTCCCAGATCTCTGCCTTCACAACCTGCTGTTGAACTTGGAACTTCATGAGTTTCTTGGGTTTGACTTCTGTGTCCTGCTGCTGGGATGTTACGTAGCCTGAAACTACACTGTGTCCTCATCTCAGATCATCACCTTCTGCTGTATTTCCTGCCCATGGTATTTCTGCTCTGCAATCTCCTCACTCTTCAGTTTCAATGTCTTCTGCCTCTCTTTGGTGTGATTCATGATGTTCTTGCCCCAGTGGAGAAGCTCGCTTTCCACGGCCTTGTACTTGACTGCAAGCAGCTCTGTGGCCTTCTGCTCCTGCTATAGGTCTTGCAGAATCTTCTCCTTCATCCCTAGCAGCTTCTGCCTCTTCTCAATCATAAGACTGCAGTCATCCTGGCCGGTCACCTTCTCTTCCATGAGCCCCTGCTTGCACACCTGAAGGTAATTATCCACGTTTCCATCCCAGGCTAGCTCCAGGAGGCTGGGACAGGTGGTGGTGTGGTGGTGGATGTTGTTGTCCACCTCTTTGGCCTCCCAGACTTTGATTGCTGGCCCGTCCTGGTAACCCCCCAGGGCTGACGTAGCGCTTTCTACACTGCTGCTTTTTATGTTGTGGTTCTTTATGCTCCTGCTCTTCCTCCATGGCCACTTTTCCAGCATCTCCTTCTCCAGAAGGGACTTCAGGTAGGTAATCTCCTGGATTTCACACAGCAATGCGTCCTTGGCGAACTCATGCACTCAGGGGTTGTTCTTGATTTCCTGTCTTGATTGGCAAAGCAGTGGTTGGAGATGCTCTTGTTGTTGCCAGTAAGAAACTGGCACCTGTGTGGCCACTATGATGATCTTGTCTTTGCCCCCAGGAGAGTTCTAGAGCAGCCAAAGCAGCTTGGTTTCCTAATAGGGGATGTGGGTGCTCCTGTGGCCCACCAGGACGGTGATTACATTGCCCAGGGAAGACAGAGAGGTTCATTTTGGGTGCTTCCATATGCCTTTCTCTTCTACCGCCTCCACCGTCATCACTACCCATGGACTGTGTGGCTGTCCCTTCAGTTAAGTAGAGATCTGCTTTGTTCTACCTCTTGCTTCTGGCCAGGTTCAACAAGGCTGAGCTTTTCCAAAGAGCTGTGGTCCTAGCCATCACAGCCGCAGTAGCCCATGGTGGTGAGGAAGCAGAGCGGGAGTAAGAGCTGATTTCTTCATGTGTGTGTTGCCCATGGCCTGGGTCTGCGCTCATAGGTTCATCATATGCTGAGTCTCCTTGACACTCTTGGTTACAGAGGAGGAGAGATCCTCGATGTGGAGGCCTCAGCGCTCTCCATCAGCTCTAGGTTGCCTCTGGACTCCTTGGAGAGCAGGTCTCAAATCTCTTCTAGGTTCATCTCCAGGTCGGAGGACTGGGCCAGGCCCTGCTGGCAGTAGGAGTGCAAGAAGTAGATGAAGAAGGGCTCAGAGGTATTGGGGATGACCTTGTCCAGCCTGGATTCTATCCAGGTCCCCTGCATGGCGTGTCCTGCCACTGCCTATCTGGCCATAAACAGATACCATGCCATTGAAACCCTGGAATAGTGAGTCTGCTGAGGCGCTCACACTTTCATCACATAAGTCTCTGTTTTGAGCTGGCATCATGCATGGTATTAAAGTTGGAGATCTTGGGAAGCTCTCCTGGGGCGATTCAGGAGTCTCACAGTGTCACCTGGCCAAGCTTTACATCCATGTCAGGGCTTCACAGCTGGCGCTAGTGGTAAAGCACCCGCCTGCCAGTGCAGGAGACATAAGAGATGTGGGTTCGATTCCTGGGTCAGAATGATCCCCTGGAGGAGGGCTACTCCAGTGTTCTTGCCTGGACAATCCCATGGACAGGAGCCTGGCAGGCTGCAGTCCATGGGGTCACGAAGGGCAGGACAACATCCGAAGCGACTTAGCACACAGCACAGGATCTAATGGTGAACAGCAGTCACCCCTTTAGCCAGAAGGTGGCACTGGGTCATCACCTCCAGGGTTGGCCTTGGTTTTACTGGCCATCTTGCTGCTCTGTCCTTTAATCACCCCGTCCCACTCCACAGCCTGTGTGGTCCTGCTGTCATCTCTGGATCATTGGGACTGACCCAGTGGGCCCCCAGAGTGCCACTCTTCAATCTGCGTACTAACTCCTGGGGTAGGGATTCTGGGAGATGGCCCCGCCAGTTCTGCACACTGGGCCTCCACAGCTCTCCAGTCCTTACAGAATTGAGCAGAGTCCATGGAAGCCACAGGAGCTGTGCTGGCTAAGTGGCAGTCCCCAGGACCCACCTCATACTGGGGCAGAGAGGATGCTGCCGTGTTGCCAATGCTAGTGTTGCTGTGGCAACAGTAAGATAAAAGAGAAAAATGGGATGGGTGACAGACCTGTCCTCTCCTCCTCTAAGGATCTGTGGTGGGGGCTGCTGGCTCTGGACACCTGGTCGGGGGTCCCACCCCTCGCATGGGCAGAGGCTCACATGGGGCCCTCACCTCAAGGTAGGGGGATCATTCATTACAGTGGGCATGGCTGTGCTAACTCTGCTTCCCGTTTATCACCACTTGGAGAAGAAGTGAGAGACGGGGATGGGGCAGGGAACAGGGGCTAGGCTAAAAAGTTCCCTAAAATCTTTAAAGGAAGTTTAGAGCTAAAACCATAAGAAAACAGAAAAAGACAATTTAATGAAATCAGAAAAAAAATACACAAATAAATGAGAACTTTACCTTAGAGATATACTAAACAAACCAAAGAGAATCCAGGAATGGAAGAGTACAGTGAATGAGCTGAAAGATGGGAGAGAAAGCATCAATAGAAAGCAACAGACATGTATCCATTACAGTAGAATGGATCGAGCAGAAAATAGCATATGTAGTGTAGAGGATAGGGCCTTTTACATAACTAGTCAGAGGGAAATAAAGAGGAGTGAGAATAGCCAGTGTGATATATGGAATATCATCAAGAGAAACAGTCAGTGAACTATTGCAGTCCCAGAAAGGGAAGAGAGAGAAGGAAGAGAAAGCTTATTTAAAGAAATAATGGCTAATGACTTTCCAAATCTAGGGAGAGTTTTGGACATCCAGTTTCATGAAGCTCATAGGTCTCCAAGCAAATCCAGTGAGAATTTTTCCAGGACACTTTTAATAGAGCTGTCAAAGCCAAAGAAAGATTATTAAAATTATCAAGGAAAACGAAGCACATACTTAGAAGAGAACTCACATAGCGCTGTCAGCCACTTTTCATCAGCAGAAACATCAGAGGCTGGGAGAGAATAGGGTGATATATTCAATATGCTGAAAGGAGAAAAAAAAAACCCAAACTGCCAACCATGGATGCTTATCTGGTAAAGTGGACCTTTAGAAATAAAGAAGAGATGGAGACTTGCCCAAACAAACAAAAACTAGGAAATTTCATCATGCAGGCAAGGCTAGACTTGCCTTGATTGGGCTTCTCAGGTGGTGCTAGTGGTTAAAACAAACAAACAAACAAAAACCTGTTTGCTGATGCAGGAGACGTAAGAGAAGTGGGTCCGACTCCTGGGTCGGGAGGATCCCCTGGAGGAAGGCATGCAACCCACTCTAGTATTCTTGCCTAGAGAATCCCATGGACAGAGGAGCCTGGCAGGGTATGCAAGAGTCAGACATGACTGAAGCAACTTAGCATACATGAAGACATGCCTTACAAAACGTTCTGAAAGGAATTCTTCAGACTGAAGTGAAAGGACACTAATTAGCAGCATGAAAACATGGAAACACAACACACTAGTAAAGGTAAATACATAGTCAAATTCAGCGTGCTCTAATACTATAATACGGTAGTATGGTGGTTTAGTTGCTGAGGCATGTCTGAGTCTTGTGACCCCATGGACTGTAGCCCACCTGGCTCCTTGTCCATGAGATTTTCCAGGCGACAGTACTGGAGTGAGTTGCCGTTTCCTTCTCCAAGAGATCTTCCTGACCCAAGGGTTGAACTTGTGTCTCCTGCACTGTGATTGGACGCTTTAGCGCTGAGCCGCCAGGGAAGCCCGTATAGTAGTATGTTAACCACTTTAATGCAGGTGTCTCTTGCTTTTCAAAAGCTCCCTTCACAACACTTCATTTTTAGGACAGATCTACACCAGTATCTATTTTTTTTTCTAAACAAAAGAAATCCAAAGAGATAATTTCTCCTTAATGAAAAAAAGTAATTGCTTCTTCACTTTATGCCATTTCAGCTTTAAAAAGTTTTCATACTAGCATTCTACTTTTTAATAGTAGGGGAAACCTGTACAAAGATTAAAGGAAAAAATTGTTAAAAATAACTACATCTACTATAATTTCTTAATGAATATACAACATAAAAAGAAGTAAATTGTGAAAATCAAAAACATAAAAAGGGAAAAAAATTAGAATTTTTGTCTGTGATCAAAGTTGTTAGCATAAAATAGTTATATCTGTATGATGTTTTGTGTAAGCCTCATGTCAATCACAAAGGATAAGCCTAGAGTCAATACACA